GCCTAAAGCCCAATTCGAATTGGCTTAATGAGATTAATTAAAAGAAGGCGGTTCTGGGATTTAAATCAGCATATAAGATAAGGGATTATCCCTATCCACTCAGAGAGTCCAGATCTAAATAAAGATTTGGATCAGGAAACTCCTAACTATATTAGGAGGGTTGATCTTTATCTGCAGATAAGATAAGGGATTATCCTTATCTCTTAAAGAGAGTCCAGATCCAAATACAAGATTTGGATTAGGAAACTCCTAATGGGATTAAGAGAACCTCTCTTTAAGGCTATAAATAGGAGAACAGAGCGAACCCTCAGTACACAACAGAAACCAATCTGACTGCTGAATTTAGAGAGAGACAACACAATTATACTACATTGTTTCCTTCTCTCCTGCTCTTGCCACCATACCAGTTCGATCTCCACCTGTGGGAGCGATCAAGAAGTGTTCTTGATATTATCTTTTGGCAGAAAAGGTAATCAGAAGTCGTGCTCACTAGCCCTCCATCAGATTCTTGTTGAAGAATCAGGTTCTTGCTGAAAAGCCATCCTGCTGATTCCGTTTCATCCTGCACCGTGTCATCTTCGGTGGAAGCAGTCTTTGGATCTTTCCTTGGGCGTGAACACCTTCATTGGAGGTTATTACTACTTCGTATCAGGTTTATCCCTCCACTCCCTTTTGGTTTCAGATCTGGTCTGGTTTAGGTTCAAGATTGATCCTTGAAAATGTAGTTTTCTAAAATAGGGAATGTGATTCCCACGTGGGAGAGAGAAATTTTTGAAATTTCGCCCAACCTTCCTGTAGGGTTCGACCATCCATATGATGGATTCTCATCCCTTCACCGTAACCACCACCGTCATTCACACTTCCAATGTTGGTACCATCATCGGAGCAGTCATTTGATTCTTCATCAACGCTACACTGCACCCACCCTTCGTCCATCTCCTCTCTCTCTTTAGCTCTCTATCTTGCATACCTTGGGTTCGGTTTCTCTATGGAGCATCGAATTGCGCTAAACTTCTCACTATTTCCACAGGGTATCCATTGTAGAGAGCCATGTTTATCTTCCCTCCACCGCTGCAACTTCACCTTCACCAAACTCACTGATTTCAAAGATGATAGATTCGGTCAGCTGTCATAGCCTGTTTCAAAGCCTTGCCCCAACCCACATGCGTCTTTAAGTGATCACGTGGGTCCCCATCTACAATGAGCTTCACACATGCGTTATCCATAGCTGAAGATTGTTTCAGGCCCATGTCCCAACCCACACAACTCTTTAAGTAATCACGTGGGTCACAAGCTGTATTGGGCTTAAGACGTAGATTGTCATCAGCCAAAGTGAATTTCAGGCCCATGTCCCGACCCACATGAGTCCTTAAGTTATCACGTGGGTCAAAAACTTTGCACCCCGGTTAGGTAGTTGGCCCGCCCAACCATTTAAGCGGCTCAGACCATGCGTTTCTATCATTAGGTCCTTTCAACTTCTTTGCCACATCAGCATATGATGGGCCGACCACCTGACATTTCATCTTAAATGTTTTTGAAATATTTCTTCTTTTAATGTGGCCACCCAAAACCCCTTTGGAACTCGACTCTTCCTCTTGCCCAAAAAGTTTCCCCTGTTCTTTCCCATCCCCTCCCACTAAAGCTCTGCCACGTAAGTTTCCTTCCTCCATGTCACCTTCTTCTTCCTCCTTCGAGCAGCTTCTCCACAGAGACGCTTCCACTTCCGTCAAGACCCAAATCCTCCTCCAAAGTCCCTCTGAGAAGAGAATGACCAAACAGGGCACCTCCTCCGGCTTGATCCCTTAGATTCTTACCTTGATCGCCGTCAAATCCCTGAAGCTGCAGTCCTCCATTAATCCACCCATCGTGTGGACTATTTTTTCAACTATCGATTTATTCCAGGGGTTGAACGGCACTCCAAGGAGCTTGATATTGAAGCAAGCTACTGTAATACCTCGCTCATTACAAGACATACGCCATTCTTCGACGACGATCAAACCTTCCTTTGTTTCAATAGAATAGAGTTCTATTTTCGCCACACAAAACGGCATCACAAGAACAGGTTTTCTAATGCTGAAGTTCTTCCTTATCTCCTCTGCAACGAGCTGCCAGTCCTTAATCTTCCTTCCAGCTGTCAACACAAATTTATTGTTCCATTTCTGCTTGTCCACTTCCAACTCCAATTTACTCGATTTAATAGAGCAAGCAATGTATTCCTCCACTGCCTTCTGAGTTATCTGCTCTCCCTTTCCTACCAAAACACTCTCTCTCCCCCACCTCTGTTTTCTCCGTTGTAGTCTTTTGCTGAACCTTTTCATTTCTCTCCATCACTACCAGGTACTCCTGTAGCTTATCTGCAAAATCACTTCCCACCCTGTCTTCCTATTTCCTTCCGGAATACACACGAACTTCCTGTTACTTTCCCCAAAACTTTCTGTAATAGCTGTGAACCACCCCTTCCTGTTGTTTCTCAGCTCAGCTATAAAATTTTTGCTTCCCATATTCAGCTGACCTTTCCATCCAACTTGTTTCTTGCTGTAAGTAGCTGCATCTATGAAACCCTTCAACCAAATCACTGCATCGCTGCACAGAAAAATAGTTGTTTTTTTCTCTTCTCTGATCTTCAGACACGCCTGTCCCTTGTTTCTACAAGCTTCAAACACGTACTTTTTGGCTTCAAACTCCAGCCTTCTTCTCCATGTAATCGCTGGCTTGAACTGATCCATGTCTACCAACCCTGTGTTAATTTGTGACCTAGGATAACATTTAGATGACTCCCATCAAACTGCACCTAAAAACCTTGATCTTTATAGTTTCAATGACTTCCTCCCTTGACCTGCATTTTTCTTTGAAAATTTTTCCTTTTTTTTTCCTCCCAAATAGCCCACACAACTATTGCCTTGACTGTGTTTCACATGATTCTCCCTCTATTTATTGGCTGCCTTAAGAAATTTGAATTGAAGAGGCTCACTACATCCTAGGGAGGATTCCACTTGCACCCAAAGAGAAAACCAAAATATACCCAAACCAAAAGGGCAAGGGATAAATAAGTAGGATCAGGTCCATTTGCAAAGCAAAGAGAGTAAGTGAGCTGGGAGGACAAGGTTCAACACAAACAAAAGAAACTGCAGAGAGCTCAGCACAAGACTCGATAGGAACTAACAAAGGAAATTGAGAAGCGAACAACTCAATGGACGCTCCCCCCCTAGAAGAATGACCATAAAAGGGAATTCACTCTGTTTGGATAAACTGATTTATCCTGTAGTCCAATTGCTGAATTGCTGCTCATGATTTAAGATTATTCCCTTGTTTTTTGTTCTTAAACCTGATCTATTTTTAATGGTTGAAATTGCCTCTTTTGTTCAGCAGTTGTTTCTTTTTATTATCAGCTTATCTTGCAATCGAGAGATGAGTTGCAAGCAGCTGGTTCTATTGCCTCCTAGTGGAGAGAATTGGCTGTAATCTTTCTAGTTGATAGTTCTAAGTGGCTATTTGAAGGAGAAAGTGCCTACTTTGATGTGTTGATTTGGATTTTAGAGGATTTTAGCTAAACCAAGATCCAAGAGGCTGAAAGTTTAGATTTGAATGTTAATGAACAGGGGGTAATTCTTTGACAGTAAGCAGTAAGTATTTGTCCAAAATTTTCAAACTCCAGCATGCACATGTCAGGTGCTTAGCACCTGTTTGAAGAAACGCTTGTGACATTTTGTGACCTTTAAGCTTTTACAAAACTTCTTTGTCATAGGATTAATTGTAGAACATGTTGCAGAAGAGATGTTTGCAGAAATGTTCAAGTGGTTTCAACAGCCATGTCTCTTGTGCCATATACGTGTTTAGTGAAATGCTTAATTGGACTAGAGGGAGAATAATCTTTGTTTAAAGATCAATTATTATCAAGTTATCTTTGTGCTGCTATTAGGCTATATAGAATGTTAAAATCTCTCATTGTGCAGTGTCCTTTTTCTTAAATAGTAGTGGCTTTGGTTTGAACTATAGCACTAGTAATGTAATGTATTGTTATTGTTAGGGAATGTGCCCAAGGGTGACTTGATGGTAGGTTGTGTCATGGGTAAGAGCTGTGGGCCACCATGAGTACTATATTGGCCGTTCCTTAGTGTAAGAGCCATGGGCCACCATGAGTACCATCTAATCAGCTGAAGACTTGTTTTATCCATGGAGGAGGTGTGTGCAACCATGAGTCTTTTCATGCTGCTTGGATCCATGTTGAGGTGGAGTAATAGTTGGTTGCAATCAATTTTATGATGTGCTAGGCTGCTAGCTTGAGGGGGAGCTTTGGAGTGTTAAAATTATATTATTCATGAAAAAAGAAGGTAACTGGGGGGAAATTATAATAAGGGATTTAATGTAATATTATTCATATTGAGGACATATGGCATTAAACAGAATAGACTGGCGAAACAGGATTCATGTAGCCAGCCTCGTATGGTTGGGATAAGGCTTGGATGATGATGATGATTCCTATTGAGGACTACTTTGTAATCTAGATATTTCTAGTGCTAATATAAAGCATTTATCTCATCTGAGTGAGAGATTTGTTATGGTTGCTTAGGGGGCAATTCAAAAGGGTCCAATGCAATCCTGTTCATAGGGCATGTTCAGCCTAATAGTCCTTGCCAATTCATGAAATCTCTTTCTATGCGTTTTGAATGAAATTTTCAAGAGCTGGCATTGGATAGATAAATGTCAACTGCATTGCAGTTAAAGACAGACAGCAACGCAGAAAATCCTTTATTTTGTTAAAGGTATTGCCGCATCGGGTAAATCATCCAACCAATAGTACATACCCTTACCAATTCATGAAATCCCTTTCTAGGTGTTTTGACTGAAGTAGGAGAGTTTAGTCCAGAGAAGAAACAAAGTGATCCTTCTTGAAAACATGTTCATCTATCCAATACCACTAGCTATAATACAGAGCACAGACAGTAATCAGATGTTTGTGTGTGGGTGGGTGTGTGTGTGTGTATAACAAAAGAGATCACCTCATCAAGGTCTAAGCCAATCTGAGAAGTATCACCATCACCAAATTGCTCTGAGTGAAGAAGATAGCAAAAAAAATTGAATTAAACTTTAGCTACTATACAACAACACCATATTAAAAAATTAAATTGTCAAGCCAGCCAAATGGAATACCTACCATCCAATCCAAACTGTGATGTGGAGTAAACCACACCATCCATGGTATCTTGAAGTGTAATCTGCTCCCTCGTACTAACATGATGATCAACATAGTTACTGCATAAATTGCAAAAGTTAAAAGGTCAGAGACAGAAAACAGGTCCTTAATCCGAATATATAAATTAAATATCAGAGAAGTGCACACATGCAGGATGAGAATACCACTCATTGGATCTTCTACTGGAGAACTATTATGTTTTAAATCAAACTGATTTCATGAAAGCAATCACATCTATTGCTCACTTTTCAAAATAAAAACAACTGGCAGGTGGCCCATGGAAAATAGAAAAATTCAGATGAAATTGACTTTTCAAAGAAGAAACCTTTTGCATGAAACTCATTCAATGGTGGACCTAGCATTATCCTATTCTCTTACAGCAAGTAATTACTTGGAGAATATGTTTTCATCCAGGATATGAAAATGGACTTTAGAACCAACCTCTGAAAGAATGCACTGTCTGGCAGCTCAAAATCATCAAGATCAAAAGTCTCCGGCAAGGTGATAGAATGATATGGTGCAGTAGATTCTTCGGGCGGCAAATCAACTGCAGTTGAGCGAAAAGCTTGCTTTACCTTAAGCAGAGCCTCACTGCAATCATGGAAAAGATAATTCACCTTCCGAGAATATATCCTCACCACGCCGAGTAGAAGATGGCTAGACAACCGCAGTGCAATCGGTGCTTCAGGGAAAAGAATTGAATCTGCAAAATACATCAAGATCAGAAAATTTAAGCAGAGTATAATAATAGGGAAAAGCACAACATGAGGAACTAAGGCTGAAGTTTGAAATTAAAAAATAATAACAAAACAATCTACATATATCACTTGAATAATTTTCTTGATTCATTTCCTGTTGCCTTTGCCAGTCAATAATTTATTACTCTTTAATAGGAGGAAACCCTTACCTTACCCCAGTTTTCCTTCTATAATCTTTTATTGATTACAGAAAAAATAATTATTTAATATAGAGTACCCATCACTGTTGTTAACCATCCATCATATCACCAGCGAGGAGTCAACTTCTGCCAAGGTTCAAAGTATTGATACGATACGCCCGGTACGAGGTGTATCATATCATATCACAAGGATTCCGATACACCTGCTTAAAGGTATTTTCAGGAAACCCTTTATTTTGTTTATTAAATAATATAAAATATCTATAAAAATGAAATTTTGAAAAAAAAAATAAAACATGCATGGTTTAAAGTACCAATATACCCCTGCCAATACACAAAGGTATATTAATACTTTAAACCATGCCTTAATCCTTGCATAACGGTAAAAAAGTTCTGCAAGTAAGGAATCTGAAACCCCAATTGGGCCAGAATAAAGTGCTGCAACTGCACCCCTACCATCTTTGAGGACTTCTATACCTGAAGGAAGTGGGTTTCCAAAGGAGCTGTCTTCAAAATTCAGTTTGATTCTGTTATTTCTAGATGGAATCCACTCCCCTTGCACTGTTTCTTTCTGAAAAGAGGAACTTTCTATTCATCAAAAAAAAGAGGAAGTTGCTATTACTCAGCCTCTAAAAAAAATTATCCATAGTGTAATCATTGGAGATTTCCAAAGTTGTTGGTTCAATGGACAATTCTTAATTGAATGCCTGCATTAAAGTATACAATGATTTGCTCTGCCCTTTAAACACCCTGTTATTCCTCTCCTCCCAAATCAACCACAATATAGCTGTTCTGATTGTTCTTCACATCAGCTTCCCTCTTCTTTTGGGCAAGGGAAGGAATCTGGAGTTGAGCAAGTTAGTAACATCAGAAGGTGGCAACCATCTGCAACTAAAGAGAGAAGAAAAAACTCTCAAACACGAGACACAAAAGACCAGGAGATTAGTAACTGGGATATAGACTCAACATTAGCAAAGCACAGAAAACAGATATAGGGGATAAACAAAGATTGGCTCTTCCCTTTTGGAGCAAATCACAAATGTTTATTTTACCCAACAATACCTCCCAACAAAATGGTTTCCCCGCAGGTGGAAGTGACCAGCACCACACCTTCGCTAGAAAGGACACCGCTAGAGCTGCTAGGCAGGTAAGGAAATCAAAGGACGCACAAGAAAAGGTCCCAAAGGATAAAGAAGCTCAAACCCTGCTATCAAGACAGGAGGGATCTAATCAAACAACATCAAGAATGGCAAACAAGTCTAACAAGGAATCAACATCACTCTCCCTCAAGCCTCTTCTAAACCCAACTACACAATATCCCCATGCAAACCCAGAAGGGGCCAGGACAAGGAATTTGGACACAAGTCACACAAGTTCAAGCTTGTAATTGGATAGAGCATACAAAGAGGGGGATTTATCCTTGAGCACAAAAATCCCCAACCCACAAGTCTTCCCAAAAGAGGACTTTTAGGTCATTCCGTACATCATATCTTATATAGCTTTTGAAGGTGAAGTTTGATGATAGATCTTCAGGGAGAGAAAAAGGAAGACCTAGAAAACAGAGTAGCATCCAACCCATTACCAACAAGCCCATGGATGCTGACAACTACATTGTGTCATAGTGAGTTCTTTGTAGTGGGTATCTCCATTACCATTTCCCCAACAGAACTTAATTTCTAAGAGTGATATTACCAATCCCCAAGACCCCTAGCTCCTTACCTACTTACTAGATCCCACCTCATCAAATGATCCCTCTTAGACTCACATAGCTCCCAAAGAAAGTCTCTCATAATTTTCACAATTCTCTTAGCCACTCTCACTGTGATACATAATGTAGAAAGGAAATAAGCAGGCAAGTTGGGCAGAGTAGCCTCAATTAGAGTCATTCTCCCCCCTAAAGAGAATCAAGAGATGTAATTTCTCTTCCACGTGACCAACTTTTTTGGTATATCTTTCTAACACAAGCTTCCAGAAGTCATTAGCTCTAGGATTCTCCCCCAAGAAGCGACTTAGATACACCATAGGCCACAGGCCACAAAGTTGTCTCACAACCAAGAAGGTTTGCTATAGAGGTTTACTTCCGGTCTTTATTTCCTACCTTATCCCTACCAAACCTTTGAAAAATAGCTATAAGAGTCCTCAACTCATCTTTATTTCCCCCTTACAAAATAAGATGGTGTCATCCGCAAACTGCAGGTGAGTAACTCTCACTCCTTATCTACCTAATATCAAACCTTTTAACATATCATCACTATCTGCTATTATGATCAACTTGCCAAGAACATCTGCTACCAAGGTGAACAAAAAAGGGTGAAAATGGATCCCCTTGCCTCAATCCTCCTTAGCTTGGAAGAAGTCTCTTGATACCCCATTAGCCAAGATTGAGTAATGGCCTCGCTAAGCACCGTGTTATCCATTTATGCAATCTTTCCCCAAACCTAACCTTCTCTAGAATCTCCAACAAGGACCAGTCCACCAAATCACATGCCTTCTATAATTCTAACCTGTACCCTAGACCTTTACTTCCACTACATTTTCTCTCCTCCACACATTCTTTTGCAATAAATATCTGATCCATTATTATTTTCCTTCAACAAAGGCACAAAAAAATTTCACGAATTTTTTTGGAGCATAGGAAAGTATCTTAGAGATTTGTTTCCCAAAAAAACCATAAAAAACAAAAATTGAACATTTTGATTGGTTGATGCAGTCTATGATTAAACCAAGTTGGCAGCACACAGCTATTCATTGATCTCTTGCAAATTCCTGGAGCTGTAAACTGTGAAGGAGTGAACAAGTGCCAACCTCATCTCTTCTATTTTTGTACCCACTTTTCTCAAATCAGCCATCAGTGGGTCATGATCTTGTTTTAGTTTGTGTCTTGATTTTATGGAGATGAGAAACATGTTATTTTGGATTCCTGAAAAAAAAATGTCATCATTTGGTTCTTATTCCAAGCAAAATTTAGATCCAAGGTTGATTTGAAGCAGTGCCAATAAAAGTTGTTGAATCTTCAATGTGAGACTTGCCAATTAGCAAAGAAGTAATACTCCTTTCTTGTTCTGGGCATCTAAAAGAATTCCACCGTTTTTCTTTAATTTTAAGACTAAACCTTTACCAAACCATGTGCAATAGAAATGCTTAAAATAACTGGCATACATATTTTTTTCAGTAGCAACAGGCATACATATAACAATACAAGCATGTTCATGATGCTTCTTTGAGTCATAATAACAAAAAACAGAACCTTTAAATTACTTTTTTTTTTGATAAATAGAACTTTTAAATTACTTTGTGGTCAACTAAGCAGGCTAATTGGGAGGGGATGGAGTTCGTGCAGGCAGGTCAGTGGAGGAGATCCTTGAAGATAGAAGCAAAAAATCTCCTGTTCGAAGAGATGAGAATCAAGGGGAAGGTAAGCCTGAAGGTAAGGGAAGCGAAAAAGGGTACAATATTGCTGGAAGGACTAGAAGTGATTGGGCGGCTAAGAAAGTTCATAGCTGGAGCCTGT